ATATATATATATATATATATATATATATATATATATATATATATATATATATATATATATATATATATATATATATATATATATATATATACATAAACAAAAATAAACATATATACAGAGGGCAAAGATTGTAAAACAACTAGGAAAACAATATATTCAATACAATTATTTTCAAATATATAAATATTATATTACTGAATATGAAAATTACAAAAATTAATGTTTTTTTCTTTCCAGTTTGCTCCAAAATTGCTTGTATCATCTGAAACACCTCGACGTTCTGTTCCGCAAATTGCTACTCCTTTACCCTCTGGTGATCTAAGGAGAAGAGTTTTATCTACACAAAATCAGTCACAAAGTGGACAAACTAGTGTCTCTGGTGCTGCAACACCAGCTGGGTCATCTAAACAACCTTCAAATACTCTTTACCAGTTTAATTCTAGAGTAATTAGTCCTGTTCCATCTGTAGGCTTTCGTAAGTAGAGAGATATGTGATAGATAAATTTTAATTTATTAAAATATTACATTTCATGTTCTAAGATACGTTTCAGTAAATTTATATATAGAATATAGAGGAGAGGAGAAATAATTCAAGATTGTATGATATATGTGATATATACTTCAGGATCACCTTTACCACGACCTGTATTATCGCAACAGAGGACTGTCATTGATCGTTTGGTCGATTACTTAGTAGGTGATGGTCCTTCAAATCGTTATGCATTAATTTGTCGACAATGCGAATCACACAATGGAATGGCTTTGAAAGAAGAATTTGAATATTTTGGTGAGTAGAACACTTCTCTTCGTGAGAGAACTTCTTTCAAGGATATATTTGATTAAAATGTATTATCCACAGCGTACCGATGTTGTTATTGTGGTTTTTGGAATCCTGCAAGAAAACAGAAACCTTCCGCTCCTAAATTGGATATTGATAATAGTAGTTTTATTACAACTTCAAACATGTCTGAACTTTTGTCCTGCAACCCAGAAGAAGAGTCAGTAAAACATACTGAATCGGAAACATGCACACAATCGGATACAGGTAAATATCTTTCTGCATACATATGTAAGAGTCAGGGAGCAGAAATTTATTGAGCTGTGGGGCTCGAGCCCAGTACATTCTCCTTGTCGAGTAACTGCTTTTATTACTAATTTACCTAGGCTCCACGCTTTAATTCCTTTTTCTCTTTTTCTTATTGGTCTATCATCACAATATGTTCATTTTAATCGATTATCTATAGTTTTGTTTCAGACCTTGTAGAATCTCTCTCTCTCTCACACACACACACACACACACACACACAGACACACAATCTATTCTATATTACCATATTTGTTTTAATAAATTCATTTTAATATTTAAAAAGTATAAACAAAATAAATATCACATATACATGGGTATATTCCTTTATAATAATAAAGTTAAATAAAGTGTTGGTATAATTTTTTATCTTTTTTTAGATTCAGACATAGAAGTAGTCGAAAGGCCAGGAGAAATATCTGAAACCGCAGAGCCAGAAGTGAAGCAATTATTAGATGAGAATGAATCTGAGAAGACAGAGACGTGACGTATCACACACGAATAAGTTGTATATTTGAATAAATAATTTGAGAGTGAAGAGGATGTTTGTAAATCAGATTTTTAAGTAAGCTTAAAATCAATTGAGAAAAAAAATTTGAAGGAGGTATAAAAAAGTAAGTGAATAACATATAAAAAAAGTTGTCTTTACAAATAAGGAGAAAATAGACTTAGAATAAAGATTAAAATTCAGAATATCTTTGTGTTATAAATCATGAATTAAGATGTTACATTGAAAATTGTTGCTACAACATACAAATAGCGTAAATATATGATCGTTAGTAATTATATATATAAAATATGTACAACTTCTGCATGATCTAGTTTTTGAAGATTGTATAATATTTGCAAAATGTATAAAAAAGCATGAAAATTTTTTCATAATTACGAATGAAATCATTCCAAATTTTTATTTGATTTTAGTATTATAGTTGTTTCTGAATAAAAAAAGACGAAATAAGAATAAAAAATTATTACTAATTTACTATCTACTATGACATTTCTATATAATTGTTTAATTTTTTAACATTCTCAAGACAATTTAATCTAATGCATTAAAACATTTAACTATTATAAATTCAAAAATAATTCATGATAATAATTCAATTAATGATGTATTTTTTATAAGACTGTCTATATATCTTGCGTCTGCAATGTCAGTTTATTATTTATATTAGAAATAAAAATTTCTCAAAGAGAGAGATATTAATCTTTTCAATATATTTTCTTTATAAAATACCATTTAACTCTAGATGTTATAATACACATTTTTTCAAAAAGGAAAGAAGTGTTTCAACACATCACAATAGTTTATAGTTTAGATACAAAATTATTAACAAAGTATAAACATATAATTTGTAATATTTCGTATAAATCTATTTCTTTTTGAAAAAGGAATAAAAAAATGTATTTTATAACATCACGGAAAATTATTTAGTATGGGTAATTTGTATATTACACAATATTGTGATAATAAATCTTTCAATGCATGGTATATATTTGTTATTTATCATTCCATTTAGTATGACGTTCAAATGTAATCAAATATGTAGATATATAGATAACTTTTAGCAAATATATAAATATAAGTGCAATAAATTATTTTCTCATTTATAAGATATTTCTTTTGATTACAAGAGATAAGCCGAATTCAACGGGTTGTGATTTCAGTAAAAATAATTTTATTAGGTGGTAAACTTAGTTCCTGCGGTTTTTTGTTTAAAAAACTCATTTATTTCGACATCAAAAGCAAAAAATATATTAATCGAAGTATTTTCCCTCGCTAGCTATACATTTTTCCCATCTTTCGGGCAATGCGTAGATTCCGCGACGATAGAACGATTGGTCTTTTGATGCAATCCATTCGTCGATTCATTTTCGTACATCCTCGTAATTTCTGAAGTGTGTATCCACCAAGCCGTGCTGCATCGACCGGAACAAGTAATAGTCCGAAGGAGCTAAGTCTGGTGAATACGCTGGGTGCGGGAGAACTTCCCACTCGAGCTGCATCAGTGTTTCTTTGACGGCTTTGGCAACGTGTGGTCGAGCGTCGTCGTGCAAAAGCATGACTTTACGTCGATTGCTGGCTACTGCTGGCCTTTTTTCCTTTTTTTTAATTTGTGTGGTACCCATTTTCCCTCCTTTTGAATTTTTCCCATTGCATGTAGACGTTTGGAAACAGCCATCGGAGTAACATTTAATGCTGCAGACAATTCTTGGAGCGTTTGAGTAGAGTTTTCGTCCAATAATGTCTGCAAATC